ATTAAAAATTTGTCACACCTGCTCTTCATCAGATGAGAGATACCTGGGGAAAGTTGATGGAACTTTGATTCTCCACTTGCCTACTACCAATAATAGTTATCTTTCCTCACCCAAGATGATGCTGTCCTTGTGTCACTTGTTCTGTCAAACAAGCATCACTAATATAAAAAAGGTTAGTTCTCTGGGGCAAATTGCCAGAGAACAAATCTCAGCTCTTATTTACCAGTTGTGATACCTTTAGCCAATTACTTAACCTCTATAAATTTCAGGTTTTGCACCTTAAAGTAATAAATGATAACAGTAACTAGATAAAGTAGTTGAGTGTGGCATGGAGGGGTAATCATGCTACTATTTTACTGAGTGCTAACCATGTGCAGAAGTGTTTTAACACTGCTGTAAGTGTTTTTATGTGTTAACTTAGTTACTCCTAATAATATTCTGTCATTTGTCCCATTTTATAGCTAAATAAACTAAGTAATTTGTCCAAGAAAAAAATGGCAATGCCAGGATAATCCAGGATAATCCACCTTCATAGTCCACAATCTCAGCTATTACACCATATTGCCTCAAAGGAGATAAAAGTTCTAAGGAAGCAATCAAGCACCAGCTCTCACTTGTTTCTTGGTTAATGTCCTTACGGACACAACAGAATAGCCAGCTATAAGAATTATGTTAGGCTGGGTGCGGTGGCTCATGCCTATAATCCTAGCACTCTGGAAGGCCAAGACTGGTGGATTGCCTGAGCTCAAGAGTTTGAGACCACCCTGAATCATAGCAAGACCCCCATTTCTAAAAATAGGTGGCAGGTGGGTATCTGTAGTCCCAGCTATTTGGGAGTCTGAGGCAAGAGAATCACTTGAGCCCAGAGTTTGAGGTTGTTGTGATCTATAACACCAAAGCACTCTACCAAGGGTGACAAAAGTGAGACTTTGTCTCAACCAAAAAAAAAAAAAAAAGAAGACTGTTGACAGATATCATGATGACATTCTCATCCCTTAGAAGGCATCAAGGCAGCATGCTTAAAAAGCTAAAGGGACCGGCTCAGCGCCTATAGCTCAACCGGCTAAGGCAAGAGCCACGTACACC